CAATTTTCTTTTATTTTTCCATTCGTAATTAATTATGGAATTGTCATCAAGTTTTTCTGATTTTGGTTCATGCTGCAACTCTATTTCTCTGTAACACTTCATTTTTGGTAATCCTACATGACCATGGCATTTTGAGCACCCTGAAATAGCGATGGTCAATAATAGTAATTATGATCTTCACATACACACATTATACATACTTGTGCCTGACACTCTACACAATCCAGAGTCCCACAATGATTTATGAAAAACCATCTCTGACATCGACAATGCAATAATTGCACTTGCCATACAATGGAGGAAGTCTGTGAGAATGAATCACACCTGAAAATAATGCGATAAGTAATAATATCGATATGCAATGATTTGTTTTGGTTGAACTTACCTACCTTCATCAATAGAACAGCTTCCTTGCAAGCTTCTGGACTTATATACATACAAATACAATATTATAATATAATATATCCATGTGCATTAATTTTCCTAGCACAACAATTTTTTGAAGATACCACAGGTTGTGGAATTTGTTCAATCTAGCGAAGTATTATTGACTGATCGACATTATTTGCGAGAAAATTAATAAATTATGGTAAATATGGTAATTTCTTAAACGACAAAACAACAACATAAGCTCTTGCCAGAACTGTCAGTATGCCGGAAATCTAAGGCAGGACATACAAGTACCATATCGAAGAGGACATGATATTATCAATATCAAGTAGGCCATAAAGACGCCCCACAATTGTAGGAACGACTGACGATACGGGCCTAGGAAGTTAAAATCGGAAACTGCCAGACAGTTAGGCAGGTCAAAGGACGATATGACAGACATAATGATGATGCTGAAGGATCATCCAGATTATATTAAAGAAATATCAATTCCTTTTAATATCAAACTAATATAGTATAAAAAAAATCTGATAAATGCGGTGAAGTCCTTCCTATTACAAGGGCGGATTCAGGATTTCGTCTAGGGGGGGGGGGCGCAAACGATATTTGGGGCTGGTCATTTTTCAACCTCAGCGAAACTTCTAGAATTTATCCTATTACTGCTTCTTAAATCCTTTGTGTTCTATCTGGTCAAGGCCAGCTTGACAAACAAAAAACATGGAAATGCTCAGAAATCCTCAAAAAAGGCAATGTTTTGTTATATGAGAACAAAATGAGTACGTCGCATTTATAATTAACTAGTGTAATAACATTAAAGATGCAAACATAAAAAACTGCCCTGTTGACCGAAAAAAAAACATTCTGAGGGACCCCGAGAGATATCCTAGTCCATTCCACAAAAAACAATGTCTTTGATGTGTAACGGTTTCATCGTCCGATTGTATTTATTAAATCACTTCTCTAGCTTATCCCATCTCTAGCTTTTTTACTTGGAAACATTTCCGCTTGGAGCGCGCTTGATGCGGAGTTCCTGATCTGGTGATCTGTGAATTCTGTGATCTTCCTCGCGCTTCCTTTTCACTTGAGCCGCCGATCTAAATATATACAGTTTTATTGCTGGATCTGCCTGTAGTTTATAGATAATCGATATGTAAGTGGTTTGTTTCTTGTACGATTTTAGAATATCCATCGAACGTCATTTTCGACTACTTCGATCATTCGCCATAACTTTAATCAAATCGAGGTAGAAATCGATCCACATCGATTTTACCTCCGTGTGCGTATATATATTCATAGTTCAGTGAAATTATGAGTACGTTGATTATGAATATTCGATATTTGTGTTTTTATATCAGAAGCATGTGGAGAAATGTTTGATGACCACCATCTTGTTTTACGCTTTTTTTTACTATTTCATGATTTTATTTTATGAAAGGCATTTCCAATTTTCGGTTTGATTTTATCAAACTATGTAATGTAATTCTAACCTAGAAAATCGTTGGTTCTCTTTTGAGGCAGACTGAGATTGGAAATGCCTTGGCCAATGGGGCACGTTGCTAATGCGCACGGTTCTTTTTCAGATTGGGGCCACCAGCTTTGCTTTTGTCTTTGACTTTGCCTTGCCTTTGTCTTTGACTTTGCCTTTCCCCTTTGTCTTTGACTTTGCCTCCCTTTGTCTTTGACTTTGCCTTGCCTGGCCTATCACTTTGCCGTGCCTTCACCCATGCATGTGCCTTGGCTGCGCCATCACTTACAGCTTCATCCTTGATGAAGATCACGTTTAAGTTCAACTTCACTGCATCCTTCGCCTACAACTAGTTTTGAAGCAAATTCTTGCACTGGCCTTGGACATTTTCTCCATGTTCGGTCCAACGTACTTATGCGAGCAGATGTTTTCTTTAATGAATTTGATCAAAACTAAAAACATGTCTTAGGTCTTTGTCTGATGTGTCCTTAGAGGCAATACTCAAAATTTCCACTGCTCAAGCCATTGTACCAAATATTAGAAAACTTGTTGAATCGAAACGCTGTCAAAGATCATTTTAAGAATAAATGTGTTTACGTCGAAATTATGAACATTATTTTATCACCCGCGCGCTGACTCGATCAGACCAATTCAAATGTCAATACGTATGTCACTCCACTCATTTTCCGTTGGGGCTGGGAGCCGGCGAAATTAAACCTTATCGCGGATTCGACTAAACTTAGTAATAATATGTAGTTTTTAAGTAAATGAACAAAAAGGGCTTGGTATGCCGATGAAAGTACCTGTCATATCGCCTTGAAGATACAACGTGACGGTAGGATTTTACCATAACCCATACGTATATCAACGGTCATGACGTTTCATATTCATTTTACATATACTTTCAAACATCTAGTAGCCTGGTGTCAAACTGAAAGACTCAAATGAGCTTTTAAATGCAAGCATGCAGCATACAAACAGGATGTATTATTTTTATCTATTTGCATTGCGTTGCCTGCTATAGCTTTCAGTCGGTACGACAGAAACTTCTGGCGGAAATAAGTTTGTCATACCATGTTTTTCCAAATGAGACTAAAATTTCCATCAAACCTTGTAGGCTTCATTGGATTCGGTGAAATTCTCTTGTCAGACTGCATCTTTAAGTCGGTATGGCAGGTACTTCTGGCAGGATGCGCCTCGTCTTACCAAGCTCTTCTTGTTTATTTACTTAAAAACTAAATATTATAACTAAATTAAGTCAAATCCGCCATGAATATGGCATATTCAATGTGACCAGCTCTCGGGTTATTTCTATTCGCCGAGTGCTACTGTTAGCACAATACCTTCCTCGCGATGCGACTGCCGCTGCCTAATCCCTCCCCCACCTTCACGGAGTCACCCCGCAGCACTGTGATGCGAGCGGTGCTCGGCGTTGCCCTGGTGGCACCTGAGTTCTAGAGGCCTGGTCTAATTCACGATACACATACACTGAAGATAGGATATTGCGCATGTGGGCGGAGCTTCGTGACGTCATCCGGAGAGTTGGCGGCTCGTGGTTACCAGCGGCAGGATTGACGTAACGCTACTGCAGTTCACGTGTATCGTGGTTAATGCTATATAGTGCGATTTGTTGGTGTTTTTTGGTGGTTTTGTGACCTGTTCTATTAGTTATACATTCTTTATATAGCCTGTGTGGTTGATAAATTGTTAAAAATGTGGCGTGCTGTTGTGGGATGTAATTCCGACAACCAGTCTAAACGGAATCCTTGCAAAAGAACTGATTAGAAGTTTGAAAGACTAGCAAAATCGTGAAAGGAAGTGGAAAAAAATGTGGCTTAGACTAAGTCATTTCCATTTATTGTTATACCGCCAAATTACTGCAAAAAGATGATAACTCCATTTTTCTACTTTTCGAGTTGCGTACATTTTCACACTTGCATGTAGTTAGTACTTAGGATGTTCTGTGAAATAAGGATGAATATATGTAGTGCAGTATTAACGTCATGAGCATGTTAATCCTGCTCCACAGAACATACTAAGATATAGGTAATGTAGAAAATTCTTGTTTTTACAGTAAAGTGACGATACACGCTCTATTGTGGAGCTAGAAAGCCGTTTAAGCTATAGCCTGTGAGACAGGAATTACAAGGTTGAAATCTTTTATTTAAATCCGCCATTTTGTTTTGTATAAAATTTTAATGTAGATTGTGTCACTCGCACCGCTAAGACAAATCCAACGACACGTCATATGTGAAAATCTATCGAGCCGTTTGAGCTGTATCCTATGAAATATGAATTATAAGAGAGATTTTTTCGCGAGATCCCGTAGTGAACCGGAGCGGGAACAGATGGAATTTCCCCTTCATCTAGAAGTTTTGACAGTTTCAAGCTACACCGGGAACCGGGAGTGGTTAGATGGCGCATGTTGCCCAAAATGTTTGTTTTGAGCTCCTTGATAAACTGAGCTGCCTTGTTTGAATCTGAAATAAAGAGACCGATCGTTTTTTGTTGCAATGTACATATATATCAATAAAATCAATCATTTGATATGACAAGTGCGGTTCATATATCTTCGATGATCTTCTCCCTCGTCATTTAAAATCAGGTGGACGTGTTCCTCCATTTATGATTTAATAACTAATAACAAATTTTCAATTGAGATGCCTATTTTTTAAAGATACTGACATAAGTCCTGTCACCCGCTAGTACCTCACAGACGTTCTTCGCGAAAATTTGAGTATCGGTTCCCGGTAGTGCACTGTGCTACACCGTGGACTCGCGAAAAAATCCTCAAAGTTGAAATATTTTATTAAAATCCGCCACTTTGTTTTGTATAAAATTTTAATGTATCTAGTGTCACTCGCACCGGTAAGACGAGTCCAACGACACTTCATATGTGAAAATCCGTCCAGCCGTTTGGCCTGTAGGTGAAAATATGCACGTTATCCATATCAACCCAAATCATAATCACTCTCCGCGTAACGTCATGCGCGTCGGCGGACGAAAATCGAACAGCGGAGCATCCGGCACTGGGTCTAATTGTTTGTTCCGCGTATACCCCGAGTTTCGTAAAAACAACGCCACTGTGAGAGTTTCTGTTAATGCCCTATTCAGGCTTGTACAATGTCCATTTATTTGGTTCCAGTTTCCGGAGTTGAAAACTGACCTCCGTTGCCTGCGCTGCGTCCGGGAAAATCAATATCAACTGTTAGCCTCCATTACCGGCTCCAGAGCACAAGGAAACATGGATAGTAATATAGAAAATCGTAAGGATTTAACTGAGCGGTATTTTTAGTTTCTCTCCAAACATGGTTATATTCTGTAGGTGTAGATTTTAAAATTTTTATTAAATTTGCCACCTTCCACAGGTAGGGAGATCTCCAGGTTGGCGGTTTTCTGACATTCTGAGGTGCTGTCAAGCGTTGCATTGTCAAAGCTTATTGAGCTAAAGTCATCTGTTAACATCCGTATTTTGACAATGGTCATGACAAATCTCGACAACAGTTATTGTTAAAGCATTCGTTTTGCATACAGTCAAGTTTTATATAATTTTTTGAATGGTAGAAAATAATAAAAGGATATGTCTCGTTTTTACTTTTTACGCCATTGGCGAGGAAGTATTGTAATCGCGACAGAATTCGAAAATGAGCTATTATGTTTTTCAAAAACGAAAAACCATATCACTAATTTCCGTCGGTCTGTCTGTCTGCTTGTTTTTGATATCTTTATAGTTTTTGGAAATCGATCCAAGGTATAGGAATAAAAATCGCTTAAACTTCGTTTTTTGACGTTTGTGGTAAAAATTGGACGATTTGTAAGGGGATGAGGTAGGGCGTACCGCATTTTTCTGATGTTAGTATATCAATTACATGTCAATCCCTGTAAATATACGTACCCATTAGACATATTTCACATATCATAGATATTCCTGTTAAAAACTGGAAACAATATATTCAGAAGACGAATCGCGTATCTATCGGTTGCACTTGTCGTGCGCCACGTTCCATCTTTGGTAGTGACTTGGCACGTATCAAAGCAGTCGCTGCAGCTGTCACGGCCCATCGCATCGCTCTGTATCATATCGCATCGCTTCGCTCAGCATCACATCGTATAGAATCGCTTCGAATCGATTTTCAGCTGCACCCGGTATCTAAACAGCATTTGCCTATCAAGGACTTTTAATTTGTAAGTATGGAATGTTTGTGAATAGTATGTGAATCTGTGGAAAGTCAGGTCTACCCCTACTTGACAAAAGGATCAGGGTCCTGGGTCCACAATGGGGTTTTGCTGCCCTGAGAATAACTCAATTTTTTACATTTAAATATTTTAGAACATGTATTTTAAACTTATGCCAATATTTTTTTGTTTTATTGCTTTATTTTTGTTAAAAGCCCATATTTTGCAATTCTGGCATGTTTGTCTTAAATTCACCAATTTTCGAATATTTGACATATCTACATTTTTATATGAGCGCATGATCGCAGCACTTCATATTTTATCTGCAATAAAACACTCTGAGACACGAAATATACACTGCTTTTCACAAACCCCCTTCTTAATTTTTAACGGGTCAAGTTATAAGCTAAAATTCGTAGTGGTTAGGTTTATGAATGGATTTTGGCGTTAAAATGGCAGTGGGAAATTTCGAGATAGCCGACCTTTTTCTGTTGGTTTAGTTCCTGATAAAACTGTCGACGAGCTCCGGAACAGATTCAAAAATATGAGAAAACTAATGGAAGAAAGAAGAACTATCGACGGTTTAGACGACTTAAGATGAACGAGAAGCCCAGAGTGATAGACGGCAGTTTTTTGAGCGTGGTATTTGGAGTTGCACTGCTTGTTATCATAGCAGCCAATCGTAACGCCTTTACTCTGCTATACTCAAAAGATTCCCTATGCCACATGATGAACTTTAAGTGTCAGCATGAAAATGTTTATTGTTATTTCCAATATTCCTTTTAATCCTTAAATGTGGATAAAGGGCAAAAGATACAGGAGAAGGTTCCGTATTCGTGATGAACAGAGAAATACAAATATTTTCACTTGAGGAAAAAATGTTACCAGAAGTTTTAATATAGAGTTTGTTTTTTTCATACTGAAGGTACATTTCTATTAGAACAAATCAAAATACAAATTCAGCTTGTTGCTGAAAACAAACGAACGAAAACGAAGCAGGGCGTATGTCGATGTCTGTATCAACTTTTCGATTTGGAATCATTCATATTATCACTATATATGTATTTTATGTAACTGATTATTCTTGTTTCTCATAATGACTCCTAGATACTACTATACCCCGATAATTTTCTACAATAAATTATACACTAGAAAATATATCTGGTGATTTTGACTTATCATATTTGATGTTCTCGAAACCTCGGCAGGGGTATTACGTAACTTGAAAAGTGACATTATGTTGTTTTTTCTGACATTTTATAGGTTTTTTTACGTAATAACCCTGTCGCTATTATCCTTGTGTACTCCAAACGTCGATGACTTCTACCAAAAAAATGGTCCATTAAAAAGTCCGATACGCGGTAAACGTGTGTGCTTGTAACAAAAACTACACGATTGAAGGGAGCTATATTTAAGGTAGGTACTTTTCGAACAAATATTGACAAAAGAATGGCAAAATCTAAAACAAAAAATGTTGGAAATCACTTATTCCTTTACTCATCTCATTATATTTGATAGATGTAAGTACGCAAAAATGATTTTTTTTTATAAAAAACTTGGGGTATTTTTACTATTTTAAATAATGTGGAGAGTTTCGAGAAAACATGAACAATGGAGATTGTGGATTGCTTGATAACAGGATTAATTATCTATTGTTAAACTTCTTTGAACTCTGCAAACAAACCAGAAGAAACGAGACGTACCAACTTTCGAAGATGAACAAGTTTCATACAGATGGAGAATTATCCATGCTTATACACTTGTAAACCTTGTTTATATTTCTACGTTATACATTCACCATTCAATTTCCCTTAAAATATTCTGTTCCAACCCTGTATTTTAGAATAACTCATAACCGTCGTAAAATTGTGTAGTAGTCTATAATAATATTCCAACAGCAACATTCCAGAGAAAAGTGAAGCATTCTTTTGAAAACACAGTCAAAAGCACGAGCGTTCAATAAAACTACTGGAATTTCCTGATTCGTTGCTCTCACAAAATTGAATTGGAAGTTAAAGTGAAGTCGCACAGCAGTATAAAACTTTAACCGAGCCAGTATTTTCTGTCAAACGTTTCGTTATTCTTTCATTTCATGTAAGGAAGACAATTTTAGCCAATAAAAATAACTTTAGTATGACGCTGAATAAAATGTATAAACATCTAAAGAAGTAATAAATGGACAAGGTAACAAAGATGACCACTGCCACTTTTTACTAATTTCATTTTACATAAAGCAATTTAAAAGTATAAAAAAGAAGTGTAGCACATAATAAAATACTATAACGAATATAAATATTAGAACAATAGTTTTCGAAATGACTTAAATAAATAACGTACTAGTATGGACGCTGGCCTGTCCCTGACAGACAAAGAGGGGAATTATTGGGAAAAATAATTTACATTTTTCTGTAATCAGTGTTTTCACTAAATACATTTTGAAAATATTTTGATAGCATTCCTTGTTTATATCCAAATATCACACTATGAGCGGAACTACCAACATAACCCAAAATTATCAAATCAAAAATTATTCAAAAGGTTGTTTCTCAGCCCTTTAAATAAATGGGGCACATCATGTAATGGAATGATTTCGGAATCATTAACGAAAAATCCAAAATATTTATTATCAATATTGCTTCTTAAACAATGCTCCCTTGTATCTCTAAGCAACATATCAATAGCCGTTTGATTTGTAGTTCCGTGGTCACAGACAGTCGCCACTATTTCCAAATTGATTGCCTGGCATTTTTCAATTATAGTCTGTATCATATATTTTAATTTAATTGACTTAGCAGGACCTTTGCTGAAAGAAAATGTAATGGGCTGTTTTCTTTGCCTAAAAATCCCCTTCAGAATGAAAACATTGGCATGGTCAGCAAATTATTATTGTTGTTTTAAACTTATATTTGTGTCTCACAATTGTTTCCCTGTTGTTCCTAATTGTGCCGATAGTGACGCGAAAGGTCCGAAGGTTCTGTTCCCCGTGAATGAAAACGGGCGCATAAGATGGCTCAATGCCATCCCTCGTACAGTGTAGTGATATAAGTGATTACAAAAAATAACCAGATTAGGCAATTTGTACTTTGTTGAGGACATCATCGTTTGGGAATCCACCAATTGCCCAAAATACTTTTCAAAGGACATCTCAAACTGAAGAAGCCGAAATGAAAAATTGAGGGACAAGGAACTATGTACTTAAATCACTGCAAAATAGCCTTGATAAGTATTCCTCCTAACAAAAATGTACAAGTTTTCAATATATTCAGACTTTCGCAGTTTTCAGTTCATGGCAATCTCCAGAAGAGTGGCATAAAGTTGTTCAGGATAAACCAGCTATTATAACACACTTTGTAATTGTTGAGAAAGATCTGGTTGTAAAATGTACTCCCAAGAACTGACACTCAACTCAGGTAATACTAAAGACTCCATATTTAGACACAGTTTGGCTCTATGTTGTATACAATTAGTCCACATTCATATAGATTCATTAGGAACCATGGAGGACTTATTTTACGACACCAAAATACTCTGAAGTCAATTTGAAATACATTCATGGTCGATCCAGTTCCAGATGAGACACATAAATTTTCAGGCTATACAAAGAACCTTCTCAGATATGTAAAACCAGTTGAGGAGAACATGATTTTATTGATGGACGAAATACACATTCAGCCATGTTTAGATTTCAAAGGACGTAATCTTGTTGGAACATCAATTAATAATGCTTCATTAGCTACAACAGTGTTTATGATTTCAAGCTTTTATTCAAAGAAGCTGTTTACATCTGACCTGTTTCTAAAATTGAGCCTAATCTATTATACAACATTAGGCTCGTTACACACATGCACGGTGACCGTCCAAACGGCGCCGTTTATACGGAGCCGTTCTATTCTGTTGACTTTTCACACATAAACGGTTAGTACCTATTAGCAAATGGATCGTAGACGTGTTATCGCAATGATGATATTATATAGACGCTTAAAAAGAAAAAAAAGAAATAGATATAAGTGGGTTCATCCTATAAGTATGCAAAGAAAAACGTTTGGAGCATTTTATGTACTTTTCTGGCAGCTTAGAGAAGACGAAAAAAAGTTCTATAACTATTTCAGGATGTCAGTATTAAGTTTTGACGAACTACATCAACGACTAAAAACATCCCTTCAAAAGAAAGATACTTTTATGTGAGAGTGCATACAACCTATAGAAATGCTGGCTGTCACAATTAGGTAAGTAAAACAAGAACTTTAAATTTTAGAAGTTATATGTTTATTAAAGCCATACTTAAGATATTTATTTATATAAACAGACCATGCAATCTAAATAGTAACCGATCTCTTATTAAATGGTATAAAAATATTTTAAGTAGAAAAATCAAATGACTCTTGAGATGATTGACTCTCCACAGAATATGGTGAAATAACTTCGCCAATGGATTCATAAAACTGACGGACTGGATGTGCATTTGAAGTTGCAGGAACAGGTTGCAATGTTTCAACTTGAGTGTTTGGCATAGTGCTGAATTCTTGCTGGCTTTTCGGCAATGCTGAACTTTTGGTTTGATGGGAAAGAGTTTGGATAGGAATGTTTTGATAGGAATGACTTATGCTGGGATAGGAATGAACCATGTTTGGATAGAGATGACTTGTAGTTGTAGTTATTGGTTGCTGACTGGAATTAAGTTGAGGATGAGTAATGTGTTGACGAGATGGAATCATTTTCTTTCGTTGTTTGATAGATGTTATCGTCTGCAATACTGTGGTTTGAAATTCCAATATTTCCTCTTCGTCTAAAGAGCTTAATGAGGGAATTATGTCTTTAAAAAAACACAAATGGCGGTCGGGTGTTTCTTTCAGGGCTTTCATCATTTCTAATTCAACGGAATCCATTTTGCGTTTTTTCGGTGGTCATGTCTTAGCAACTTTGTTGTTTAATGCATTATCTTCAGGCATATTAGTTTCCAGTGTTTCTTCTTCCTCATCTGATTTATCTGATTGGCTAGTATTTGATTTTAAACTATTTTCGGTTTTACGATCAGTCAATATTTTATTTAGAAATTTCAACTGGTCATTATAAATGTACGCTTTTATAGTTGTTGCTCCAGCCCCTGACCTTGAAGCGCTCTTTTGTTTTTTCATAGATTTTTTGAACGTATCCCTAACATTAGTCCGTTTCTTCATGACTTTTTTACCTGCAAAGAAATAAAAAATATTAATGATTCATTTTATTATAGAAAATATTATTATCATAATTATTATCATTATTATTATTATATTATTGTTATAGTTATTATTTTTTTATTTTGTTTTATTTTCGGATATTTAGCAAGCGGATGTAATTTCACAGATCTACATTACAGCTATCGACTCGGAATATCTACAATTAGCAATATAGTCAAAAGAGTATGTGAATGTATTTGGTCTGTTTTGCAAGCAGAATGTATACCCAAACCTACTAAAGAGAACTGGAAGATAATTGCTTCAAAATTTGAAAACGGCCAATTTTCCTCACTGCATTGGGTCAGTCGATGGGAAACACATTCGAATAATTAACCCACTTGGCTCAATGTATTTTAATTACAAAGGATATTCTTCTACTGTTCTTATGGCAGTTGCAGACTCTGATTATCGGTTTACCTATGTTGACATTGGAGCTTATGGCAAAGATTGTGATTCTAACATTTTCAAGGAATCGTCATTATGGCTATCAATTAAAAATGGAAACATACAATTACCCGAAGAAGAATGTCTTCGAGGAGCAACGAATCCTAAAGTTCCCTATTTTCTTGTGGGTGATGAAGCATTTGCTTTACACAAACACCTACTCCGACCATATGGTGGTCATAACTTGACAGTCAAAAAGAAGATTTTCAATTACCGTCTTTCGAGAGCTCGACGATATATAGAATGCACGTTTGGAATATTAAGCAATAAATGGAGAATTTTTCACCGTCCCATAAACTTGGATCCTGACTTTGCCGTAGACATAGTAAAAGTTTGTGTTGTTCTACACAACTTTGTTAGAGATAGGGATGGCTTTGAAGCAGAAGATACATTAACAATAACAGGACTCCTTGATTTGTCTGAAGGAGGAACAGTTCGAGGGGGATTATCAGCCAACAATGTCAGAAATATTTTAGCTGATTACTTTTTTAC